CCCCCCCCCCCCCCCCCCCCCCGCCAATCCCACCCCTTTTGTAGCACCTGGAAATGGAGATGGTGGCAGTACCAGTGAGACACCTCAGCCTCCTCGGAAGAAAAGGGCCCGGGTAGATCCTACTGTTGAAAATGTAAGATTTTAAGTTTTTTAATAGCCTGTTAGATTTCTAGTCTAAGTCATGTTATGTCACAACAAGAAGCAATCATAGAACTTTGGTTACCCAAAGCATTGCTAACATGCTTAACTAATGAAATTTCCTATTTTGGGGTAAAGGATATATTTGTATGTATCTTTGTTTCCATGTGTAGCTCTAGATTATCCCTGCCTTCAATTTGTCATCAGTGTTTAAGACTATGTCTTTGTGTTAGATTGGGTAGACCTACGGGGTCACAATAGATGGTTTATTAAATTTCAGCATGGTTTAATAAAACCTTGGCAAATACTGTGAAATCCTATGAGTTTCACATATGTGTACATGAATATAATAGTTTTAGGATTCCTACTTAAGTAGTATACTAATGTGTTTTATTGTTATATATAATATGCAAAGTTAGTGAATTTGTTAATAAGAGTTCTAATTGACATTACTGACGTTGAAGTTTCTAAGTAACAATAGTTACTAGCTATTAACTTATAACTTACAAACATTGGTATGTTCTGAAAATAAGTACTTTGGGACAGATTTTGAAGACAACTTTTATGAATTAATGATGTTCCTTTATAGTTGTATTGGGGTGCTCATGTGAACATTAGCAATGAATGGGGAAACTAAGCCAAAATGCTCCATTTCCAAAAGAGGAAATTCACCAAGAATTTTTACCTTAACATAAACATGCACTAAAAAGTCTTAAGAGTTGTTGTTAAGCAAAGAAAGGTTTTATGTTTATTTTCTCTGTTTTTTTTTTTACTAGGAAGAAACATTTATGAACAGAGTTGAAGTTAAAGTAAAGATTCCTGAAGAGCTAAAACCATGGCTTGTTGATGACTGGGACTTAATTACCAGACAGAAACAGGTAAGTTGAAAACTAGACAGATTATAAGCTCTGTGCTATGTGGTTGTGAGCACAAAGAAGATGACACTTGAATTTTGAAGCATGACTGATAAATAATATTTTATTTGAGAGACTGAAAATTACTTCAGAAAAAAAAAGCACTTGGAGCGGAATAAAATATGTAATTATTTTATGACAATTTTAAAGAATGTTGGATATAGCTGATATTTGGAGGTTGCTGGGGCTGGAATTCATCCAGAAAATTAAGAGAATCCTTTTTTATTGGTCTGTCATTGGAAAATGAAAGATCTGCACATATCTATCTCTACACATAGCATTCTCTGCAGAAGAACCTGAATCTCATTAAGGTTCTAGGACTCATTTTCTACTTTATATGATGGGACTGTTGAGTAGAGAGGGACACGTTAAACCCCACAATAGTTACTTAAATGCAGAATGAGAACACATTAAATGATTTCTTTAAACAGACAAATGGTGTAGGTAGGGCTGGAGGTTATGGATGACTGATGATTGTGAGACTCAAGAGGCTATAGATGATGTGGTCTTGGTCTGAATTCTGATTTGTTGGGAGGATTATACGGCTGCAGCTAAGCTGTCAAAATTTAAGCTATGGCTCTCCTACTTAATAGCCATGGCCTCAGACAAGCTCCTTGGTCATTTTGTGCCTTAGTTTTTAATACATTTAGTGGAATAATAGTCCCTACCTCATAGTATTGATAACGAGGACAAGAAAGGCAGTTCTGTTACTGCTTCAGAGTGAGTCTAGCACATAAGATGCTAACAGTAAATAATGCCTTGATAATATCATTGAAATGTGTATTCTATATGTAGAGATTATATGTATGACCAGCAGATTGTCAGTTATAGTTAGAGTTGTATCTTCAGGGGCTTGGGATATAGCTCAGTTGATAGTTGGCTTGCCTACCTTGCACAAGGCCCTGGGTTCAATCCCCAGCACCACCACCACCACCACCACCCCCCCCAAAAAAAAAAAAAAAGCTGTATCATCAGTATGATGGTCACTAGCTTATTTAATTGGAGCTAAATATAGTTAAGATTGTAGTTCTTAGCAGTGTTATCCATGTTTCAAGGGCTGAATAATAATGCCTTCTCCTATTTTGAAACTTTTGTTGCATAAAAGCTTACCAGTATGATTTTTCACAGAAAAAGAATGTTTGTATTTATGTAGATTTTTGTTGTTTGCATAGCTCTTTTATCTTCCTGCGAAGAAGAATGTGGATTCTATTCTTGAGGATTATGCAAATTACAAGAAATCTCGAGGAAACACAGATAATAAGTAAGAATTAACCCCTTTAATACACTCAGAGAATCTTTCTTAAGTATTTTTATTCCCAAATAATCTCTGAAGTTATATTTTTGGAATATTAGTACCATCATTAGAATTTCACTGGTTTGATTCAGGGGCTGGCAAACTTTTCCTAAAGGCTCAAATAGTGAATATTTTAGGTAAAATTGAAGCAGTTGTATAGGTACTTATGGAATCATTTAAAATTTAACCATTTGAAAGTATAAAAATCCTCTTATTTTGAGGGCCAAACTTGGCTTCAGCATATTTCTGAAACTTTTTATGTATCCTTGTTAAATTTTTTATTAAAAAAAAAAATCTCAGCAGTAGTTTGTTGTCACTACTAGTTTGACCTTGAATTCCTTACTCTTGTGTTAGTTGGATTAATTTCTTTTTCAGTTTTCGGTGACCAGTTGTGGAAATAAATGGCTTTTGTTCATTTTCAGGGAGTATGCTGTTAATGAAGTTGTGGCAGGAATAAAAGAATACTTCAATGTAATGCTGGGCACTCAACTGCTCTACAAATTTGAGAGACCTCAGTATGCTGAAATCCTTGCAGATCATCCTGATGCACCCATGTCCCAGGTGTATGGAGCGCCACATCTACTGAGATTATTTGGTAATATACCTTTTGGAAAATGTGATTTTATTAGCTTTTAATAATTTTTTTGTGTTCCCTAAATGAGTGAGGGGTAAAATCATTAACATTCTAAACCCTGACTACAGGGGTTAGGGGTATAGCTGAGTGGTAGATTGCTTGCCTACCATGCAGGAGACCCTGGGTTTAATGCCCAGCACCACAAAAATGGGAGGGACAAATCCGCACAGCTTCATTGCAATTTGAACTCTTGTCTAAAAGTTAAATAGCAAAACTTGTTTTAAAATCATGTAATTTTCAAATTTTGATGGTTGTATTTGCTCACATAGTTGAACTGGGATGATGTTGCTGCTTTATATGTAACTTTGCTAAATTCTTTTGTTTCTGTAGTACGAATTGGAGCAATGTTGGCCTATACACCTCTGGATGAGAAGAGCCTTGCTTTATTACTGAATTATCTTCATGATTTCCTCAAGTAAGTTTAAGTATGGTTGAAATTAGACGCAAGAATTGGTATGATATACTGAAAATTGATGAGATAGGAGAGATTGATACTAATTGCTAAAACAATGTAGAATAGGTATTTAATGGAACAAATGATAGAGTTGGCATATAAATGCTTAAATCTCAAACCTATTAAGATAATAAAAAATGTAGAGTAATATTTTCATATTCTGGTACTGTTGTGTTTAAAAGAATTACCTTTAATTCATAAAGAAGACATGTTTTCTTTATTCAATAAAAGGATGAACAAACCAATGAAAAGTATGTCACAGGAGATTTATAGAAATGGCAGTAGTAGAAGGGATCATTAAAGCATGTTCAGCAGTATAATAAAATAGAAATTGTTGATCAGTAAAGTACCTCTTGTTACAGGTGTTTCCCCATTTCTTCAATCTCAGTTTAAAAGATTGAAGAAATGGGCTGGGAATGTATCCCAGTTGGTAGAGTGCTTGCCTCACATCCATAAGGCCCTGGGTTCAATCCCCAGCACCACAAAAACAAAACAAAAGATTGAAGAAATGGAGAAAAGGGAAATACTGGTTGCTACATCTTTAGAAAGATAGCAATGTTGTCAGTTGAAGAAAAATTAAATTTTTTAGTAGTAGTGAGGCATGGTTGGTAGTGGTGAGGCGTGGTATAATTCCCCTCATTTGGTGAGAAACATTTCAATTTTTGCAAAACATTTGATTTTCCATATATGAGTCATAGTTAATTATCTTGAGCCTACTGGTAGGAAAAGTTAGTATTTTTATTTTCTACTTTGAAAATTTCCATACTTGGATTTTTGCACAATAACCATGCATTTTATTTCAAAACAAAACAAAACTTTGTAATTACAACATGTACCTGGGGAATCTATGGCCTTTGTTCTGCCAAAGATAATTATCTTCTCTGGACCTTAAGTACTTACTTAATTTTATGGTTCTTGGGATCAAAAGCCAATGTGCCTCTCACATGCCAAGGAAGAGCTGTGTCACCTAGCTACACCCTCAACACTGTTTATTTTTTATTTTGAGACTTGGTCGTGTTAAGTTATATTCTCGAACCTGTGTTCCTCTTGCCTCAGCCTCCTGAACTGGGATTATAGGCATGTACCACCATGCCCAGCTTCAGTTTCCTTTGAAAGCAAAGATTTACTACCATTTGAAATTTCAGGTTCTTTTTTTGTGGTGTGAATTTTAAGTTTAAGCTTGATTTACTTGTACATTTCTGAGTCTATACTTAAAAGAGTTTTGAAGGACTGAAAGCAATATCTACAGTATTCTTTTTGGGTAATACTGCCATATAATAGGATAATAGCTGTTTCTTAAGAATTGTTCAAAGTTGATGAAGACAAAAATTCCTCTCCTTGTTTAGAAATGAGGAAGGGTACTTTATTCTTTATAGCTGTATGTTATATGGTCTCTTGTAATGTGGTTTTTCTGTGAGGTAGTGATTATTATTTTTAGTAAAATGTTAATAGGCTTATGTATATTCCATGTTATGTAGGAAGAGATTTGTATCAAGATAAGATTTTTAAAAATTTGTTAACGAATAACATTTAATTTTTAGGTACCTGGCAAAGAATTCTGCAACTTTGTTTAGTGCCAGCGATTATGAAGTCGCCCCTCCTGAATACCATCGGAAAGCAGTGTGAGGAGGTGTACTTCATTCACTTGTGTTTGGATCTCTGTAAACACATTTTTGTTCTTAGTCCTTCTCTTGTACAAATGATGTACTTTGAAGATGTTAGTGTATAACAAAATTGATGTTTGTTTTCTGTTTGAATTTAAACAGAGAAAATAAAAGGGGTTACTGCTCCTTTTTTCCTTTCTTTCTTTTAATTTCATTTCAAAGTTGCTACCAGTGTATTCAATGATGGACAACAGAGAGACATGCTGTAGAGTGTTTGCCTAGTTGACAAAGCTGCTTTTGAATGCTGGTGGTTCTATTCCTTTGACACTACGCACTTTTATAATATGTGTTAATGCTATATGACAAAATGCTCTGATTCCTAGTGCCAAAGGTTCAATTCAGTGTATATAACTGAACACACTCATCCATTTGTGCTCCTTTTTTTTTTTTTAAATGGTGCTTAAAGTAAAGAGCCCATCCTTCGCAAGTCATCCATGTTGTTCCTTAGGCATTATATCTTTGCTCAAATTGTTGAAGAATGGTGGCTTGTTTCATGGTTTTTGTATTTGTGTCTTATGCACGTTTTAACATGATAGACGCAATGCATTGTGTAGCTACAGTTTTCTGGAAAAGTCAAATCTTTTAGGAATTGTTTTTCAAATCTTCAATAAATTTTTTCTTTAAATTTCAAAAAGCAATGTACTTGTCTGGATTTGTTTCAAAAATCTTTTTTTGGGGAGGGGGGGGAAGGACATTGCCTTCCTGGAGAGCAAAACCTTAAGAAATGAACATTTTGTATACTGTATATCTTTCTTGTGATAGGTAGTGATTTTTTTTTTTTTTCCAGGTGGGTATTTTCTGGTTTGATCTTTATGGAATAAGAAGCTTAGCTTTGGCATCCCAAGCTAATCCATAGCAGCAGCATTGATATTTGTTGTCTTCAGAAAAGCTAGACGTTTACATGACAGTGTCTCATTTTTCACAGATTGTTACCAGTTTTGAGCATTAAAGACATTTTTATCTATGTGACAGCTTGCTGTCACTACTTGTTTACATTTAAGGTGTTTAATTTGGAAGTAAAAAGAGCAATATATAATATTAAAAATGGCACATATTTTTCCCCTTTGATATTAGATCTGAAGTGGTTTTGGATATAGGTTTGAGATGATACTTGTTACAAAGTATTGGAATGATAAGTTCAGAAGGCAAGAACTGTAGTAGCATACGAGGGAGTGGGGTTTGAGAAGGGAGGATAATAGAGAAAAACAATAAGAGGGCAGTGGAATTTGCTTTTGTTATTCCTAGCCATAGTTATTTTCCAGCCTTCTTAACTTTTCCCTTTTATCACAACTGTACTGATTAACAATTAGGGAATGTTTTTGCTTGGGAGCAAAGAATGTTGCTAATGTTAATCTTGATTCAACCATGATGATCTTCATATATCTCTTTATTTTTAATTTGTGTTAATGTGTGCCTTAATTTAACAGACCAATTTGCTGGTCATGGTGGCACTCACCTGTAATTACAGAGACTCAGGAGGTGTTCCTGTGTTCAGTCCCTATTACCAAAAAGTAAAAAAAAAAAAAATCTGAGGTTTCTAAAGAGTTCTTGGTTCATATGGATTATATATATATTTATCATTTACCACCTCAGAAATTAAAACATTTAAAACATAAGATAAGGGCCTGGGGATATAGCTCAGTTGGTAGAGGGCGTGCCTCACATGCATAAGCCCCTGGGTTCAATCCCCAGCACCACCAAAAAATTAAAAAAAAAAAATAAGAATACAGGTGCTAGGGTTGTAGCTCAGCAGTGTATAGCTCTTGGCTAGCAATTGTAAGGCACTAAGTTCAATCATCAGCACGACATAAAAAATAAAACAAATGTACTATGTCCATCTACAACTAAGAAAGAAATTAATAAAAAAAGATTACAGACTTTCTTTAGCCATCTGAGTGGTAGTATCTGACCTGGAAAACTGTACATACATTATGGGAGAATCCAAATGATTTTAAATGGTTTTTCGCCTTACAGATACAGGATCCCTGGACTACCCTTTTGAGAACCAAAAGAAGTTTTAATATTTTTTATTCATGAAGCCCCAAGATCAGAATTTTCTTAATTTGTTAAGTATCTCTACCCCAATTTAAATATAGCTTTAGAATGGAGCACTAACATATTTGCCTGATAATAAAAAAGAAAATAATTGTAATTGTTGTAAAATGTCTTTTATTGTGTTTTATTAGTAATTCTTAATTTGGCTTCAGAATATCTTGTGTGGAAGCTGGTCCTGATAGCACATACCTGTACTCCCAGTGACTTGGGAGACTGAGGCAGGAGGATTGCAGGTTCAGAGCCAGCCTCAGTAACTCAGTGAAGCCCTAAGCAATTTACCCCCCCCCCAAAAAAAAAAAAGGTCTGGGAATGAGGGTAAGTGCCCCTATGTTGAATGAATCCCTGTCCCCCACCACCACACATGCACCAAAAAAATTCACAAAACTGAGTGGTGGTAGTAGATTAGCTGGAATTATGTAGATGGGAATAATCCTGTGGTTGGGCATGGTGGCATACTCCTGTAATCACGGTGGTTTGGGATTCAAAGCCAGTAAGATGCTAAGCAACTCTCAGAGACCTGGCTCTAAGTAAAATAGAAAATAGGGCTGAGGATGTGGCTCAGTAGTTGAGTGCCCCTGAGTTCAAATCCCAGTACCTTTCTACCCCAACAACAACAAAAAATCTGTGGTCAAATGATTATAGTAAATGAAACATTTACAAAAAAATGTTTTTTTGTAATAAAAAATAAATATTAATACTAGTACCTTAGATAATACTAGATAATTTTAGAAAAATGTTTGTACTTGCTACTGTTTGCAATTTGAGCCTCAGCCACATGTAAGACTCTTGGATTGCTATCTTCACGCTGTAGTCTAGAAGGAAGGGTTTGTAGATAGTAGCTTTTATAATTTTTGTTTTAAACAGGAATTAAGGTTACAAAAGTTAAGTAACTTGCCTGTGGACATGCAGCTAAGAGGTAGAGCTGAGTTTAAATGCCAACCCCTCCCAGACACACACACACACACACACACACACACACACACACACTGATTTACTGATGAGTTACTGAACATTATCAGTTATCAGATGTGCTCTTTCCTATTAGCACAGAGATTGGGCCAGATGAAAACTTCACAGATCAGCCAAAAGCCTTTATTCCAAAATGGACTCATGGTTCTGATGGGCCCACTCTCTTGGTGGAAAATGAGCCAAAAGAAAGGGACGGGGCTTATGTAGGTTAATGAGCCCATCACTTTGGGCACTCAGGAATTTGGGGTCTGGTTTATAGATAATGCATGTGTTAGTTTGAGTGCTCAGGAATTTGAATTTTGGGTTGGGGGTCTGTTCTGCATCTGGAGAAGATTTGCTTTGGGAGAGATTGACAGGTTTGATGAAGTTCCTTCTCCCCACCTGGGGCCAGCATCTGGAAAAGATTTATATGGCTTTCTCTTTCACTCCCTTTTCACAGGCCACACTATTGGGGGGAGGTTGACATTTTCCATATCAAATATTCCAGACTCTGAAAGGAAGAAATGAATTGGGCAATGCAGTCTCTAACTTCCTTCTAGGAGGTTGCGATGTGGTGGAAGGAACCTTCCTGTCAAGTGGATATGGGGAGCATGCAGAGGGGGATGTGTGGGTGAAGTTCCTGAGGCCATTGTGAGCGATGTTAATTCTCTACGCTGCTTTAGGAGATCTGACAGCCATGGGAGGAGGGATGTTGTGACTGAGCTGACCACTTTAAGAATACTGTAAAACTAAAAATAGGGGAAAAGAAAAAACATAATGGGGAGATTAAATGATCCGTTAGGTTAGGGGAAATAATTGTAGCATATATGATGAAGATTAATAAGCCTACTAGTGTTAGAATAATTCTAGTGTGAAAGAGTCTAAATTGTTAGTGCTGTGAAAATAATTTTGGCATGTAATATAGCTAAGTACTTTAGTATTCTTAATTAAGGCCTAATCAGATTTGGGGTGTTCTTCCCATGAGTTCATGGACTTTGTTCCTTTGGATGGCAAGCATGATTAATCTTGGAACTGTATTTTCCTGGTGGTTTAGTCATTGCCATCCTGCTCAACAAATTATGCAAAATAAGAACAGGAATTCAATTAACAGTATAGTTAAGGCTAGTAATCCAGCTACATGTGTAGGGTTGAGAGAGGAGATTACTTCAGCTGAACTGTCCCAAATTCATTATTAAAAGTGATTGGGCATTAACCATGGCCAGGACCTGAGATGATATATTTTTTTTTTTGAAATGTTTATTTTTAGTTGTTGATGGACCCTTATTTTATTCATTTATTTATATGCAGTGCTGAGAATTGAACCCAGTGCCTCACAACATGGTAGGCAAGTGCTCTACCACTGAGTCACAACCCCAGCCCCAAGATTGTAATTTTAACAGCCAAAGAATCTATTACGAAAAGGATCAAGTCCCATTAGATGATTGTTTACACTCTGCCATTGAACCTCAGTGTCATTGTATTGAACTGTAGTAAGACAAAAAGGAGTAATAAAATGCACTACCGTACATCTTGTACTTGTTCTTGCCATATAACAGAATCTTTTAGTTGCTGCACCTCACTTAGAATTTCCTGATCAGTATGTACTTGAGTTTGCCAGGTTTTAATATAATTCTTACAGAATTTCTGAAGATGATGCGTTGTTTGGACCTGTTGGTGTAAGACCACTGCTGCCACGGAGGCAGAGGCAATGAGGCCAGCAAAACCAACAATACCAATTATTAACAACTATAAACCCCTTAGCTCGGTGCTTTAAGTGTCTTAGCAACTCTTGCATGAATGCTACTGAAGATGTTTCCCGCCATGGTTCTTTCAATTTTACAGGGAGCCAGGTAGCTACTGGTCTTTTGAGAATCATAACAGTTTGTCCTTGACTTTGCTCTATGGTTTGATTAATAAGTGCTGCAACATAAAGCTTTCATACGTAACATGACATGTATTTTGTGAGGCATCATTGTATTTGAATACACATGCTGTGAGTTAGAATTCTTTATAAAAGGAAAATTAAGGTGGATAACAGTTTTTAATTTTCCATATAAGACTCACCATTCCAGACTGGAAAAGGCTCCTGAGTTAAGCCTGTTTGCCATATTCCAGGTGATCTTGGAGCTGTTTATCCTTGTCTCTTACCATTCCTGATTGATTTACATAGAAAAAGCATTCTTCCCTCACTGGTTTTGTGGGACAGCAGATGCCAGGGAGTCCAGTTGATTTTGTAAATTCAGTACCAAATCAGTAACTTGTTGGGTATCTGCAATAACCTGTGCTGTTTTTATAGTGAATATAGAGGTTCCTAATCCTGCTTTGTCCTGTGTTAATCCCAGTGGATGTTTCTAGCCCCATGAATGGGAATAATTTGGGGGCTGTCCTACGTCTGGTGTGTGTTGCTATTAGAATGAGTAGGCTTTGGTTGTAGGGTAAAATGTCAGTTTGAGAAGTAATTAAGGTACAGAGGCCAGTTTAATTTTGTTAGGCAGGGGCAAATATGAGCCTCACAAAGGACAAACCTCAGAAGTTTGGGGGCATCAGGGCTGTGAGACTGACGCAAGTTCTATTTAAAAGAATTATTGTTTTTCTTCTAAAGTGCACAGGTATGGCTGTATTTTTGGTTATAACT